ACCCCTCCTTTAAAGTGCAGGCATTGTACTTCCCATTTCCAGGACTCAAGTCCGACTATATGAAAATAACCAGTTTCCCTGAATCCCTTCACTAAATATTACCCTGCTCACACTCCAACAGATCGTCAGGTCCCAAGTACCATTCGTCTCCATTCACTCCTATCTAACACGCTCACGCACGCTTGCTGGAAGTCCAAGCCCCTTGCCCACAAAACCTCCTTTACCCCCTCTCTCCAACCCTTTCGAGGACGACCCCTACCCCGCCTTCCTTCCCCTATAGATTTATATGCTTTCCATGTCATTCTACTTTGATCCATTCTCTCTAAATGACCAAACCACCTCAAAAACCCCCTCTTCTGCCCTCTGACTAATACTTTTATTAACTCCACACCTTCTCCTAATTTCCACACTCCGAATTTTCTGCATAATATTTACACCACACATTCCCCTTAAACAGGACATCTCCACTGCCTCCAACCGTCTCCTCGCTGCTGCATTTACCACCCAAGCTTCACACCCATATAAGAGTGTTGGTACTACTATACTTTCATACATTCCCTTCTTTGCCTCCATAGATAACGTTTTTTGACTCCACATATACCTCAATGCACCACTCACCTTTTTTCCCTCATCAATTCTATGATTAACCTCATCCTTCATAAATCCATCCGCCGACACGTCAACTCCCAAGTATCTGAAAACATTCACTTCTTCCATACTCCTCCTCCCCAATTTGATATCCAATTTTCTTTATCTAAATCATTTGACACCCTCATCACCTTACTCTTTTCTATGTTCACTTTCAACTTTCTACCTTTACACACATTCCCAAACTCATCCACTAACCTTTGCAATTTTTCTTTAGAATCTCCCATAAGCACAGTATCATCAGCAAAAAGTAACTGTGTCAATTCCCATTTTGAATTTGATTCCCCAAAATTTAATCCCCCACCCCTCTCCCGAACACCCTAGCATTTACTTCCTTTACAACCCCATCTATAAATATATTAAACAACCATGGTGACATTACACATCCCTGTCTAAGACCTACTTTTACCGGAAGTAGTCTCCCTCTCTTCTACACACCCTAACATGAGCCTCACTATCCTCATAAAAACTCTTTACAGCATTTAATAACTTACCACCTATTCCATATATTTGCAACATCTGCCACATTGCTCCTCTATCCACTCTATCATATGCCTTTTCTAAATCCATAAATGCAATAAAAACTTCCCTACCTTTATCTAAATACTGTTCACATATATGCTTCAATGTAAACACTTGATCTACACATCCCCTACCCACTCTGAAACCTCCTTGCTCATCCGCAATCCTACATTCTGTCTTACCTCTAATTCTTTCAATTATAACCCTACTGTACACTTTTCCCGGTATACTCAGTAAGCTTATTCCTCTATAATTTTTACAGTCTCTTTTGTCCCCTTTCCCTTTATATAAAGGGACTATACATGCTCTCCGCCAATCCCTAGGTACCTTCCCCTCTTTCATACATTTATTAAACAAAAGTACCAACCACTCCAACACTATATCCCCCCATGCTTTTAACATTTCTGTCATGATCCCATCAGTTCCAGCTGCTTTACCCCTTTCATTCTACGTAATGCCTCACGTACCTCCCCCACACTTACATTCTGCTCTTCTTCACTCCTAAAAGATGGTATACCTCCCTGACCAGTGCATGAAATTACTGCCTCTGTTTCTTCCTTAACATTTAAAAGTTCCTCAAAATATTCTCGCCATCTACCTAATACCTCCATCTCCCCATCTACTAACTCCCCTACTCTGTTTTTAACTGACAAATCCATATTTTCCCTAGGCTTTCTTAACTTGTTTAACTCACTCCAAAATTTTTTCTTATTTTCATTAAAATTTCTTGACAGTGCCTATCCCACTCTATCATCTGCTCTCCTTTTGCACTCTCTCACCACTCTCTTTACCTTTCTTTTACTCTCCATATACTCTGCTCTTCTTATAACACTTCTGCTTTGTAAAAACCTCTCATAAGCTACCTTTTTCTCTTTTATCACACCCTTTACTTCATCATTCATATATATATATATATATATATATATATATATATATATATATATATATATATATATATATATATATATATATATATATATATATATATATGTCGTGCCGAATATGTAAAACTGGTCAATTAGTAAGAACTCATTTAAAACTAAGTCCTTTCTAAAATTTTCTCTTATACGTTTAAAGATATATTTTTTTCAATAATGTTACTGTAAAAAATTATAATTTTGCACCAAAAGAATCTTAGAAAACTTACCTAACCTTGTTATAATAAGTGCAATATATTTTAGCCTAATCCAACTAAATATGTTTGAGATACTTTTAAAATAATTTAATAATAAACAAACAGAATGAAATATATTTTTATCGTTAGGTTCAGAATGATTTTTGCGAAATTATTGCATACTCAAATTTTCTCCCGTCTCCAGGCTGTGAGCACACATCACTCCAGGGACTTCCTCCAAACAGTTCCCATATCGGCAATGGGAACGCGGCTCGACTCTAAGACCCTCCGTATTGCAGTGGCTCTGCGCCTCACTGCCCCAATTCACACAGAATATACGTGTATTTGCGGCGAAGCGCAAGCAGACCAATACTGTCTACATGGTCTTAATTGTTCCAAAACCAAGGGCTGGCATGCAAGACACAATGAGGTCAATGACATCATTAAGAGAACCCTTGCTACAGCTAAATGCCCAGCCGAGAGGGAGCCCCGATCACTAGCAGCCAACAATACCCACAACTCAGCAAACCGTCCCGACGGGATCACCATCTATCCTTGGAAGAATGGCAAGCTCTTAGCATGGGACTATACCTGTGTGTCCACACTGGCTGACACCTATATCCATCACAGTCTGGGGCGACAGGGAGGAGCTGCTGACCACAGGAAGGAGTACAAGATCAGCAAGTACAGGGACATTAGCCAACAGTATCAATTTGTCCCAGTGGGATCAAAGACCTTGGTATCATGGGGAAAAAATGCCACACGTTTCCTTAAAGAATTGGGTTCCAGACTCATCGACACCACCAGGGACCCAAGGGCAGCCACTTTCATGTTCCAGCGCCTCAGTGTAGCCATCCAGAGGGAAAATGCTTGCTGCAAACTTGGCTCGCATCCAGCCTCGGAGGAGCTGGAGGAAATTCATGATCTTTGATACATTGTGCCATTGTATTCATGTTTGTTTTTTCTGTAAATGTATTCTGTTTATTAATAAATGTTCACATAGAATATAAAATATATATGGGGTTGTAGGAGAAGAAAATATTCAAACAGCTCCGGGGAGAACCTTGAGTTTTCCCTGAGGTACGTTTATTGTCTTTTCTGAGGATGAGGGTCCCCATTCCAGCTATAGAGGTGGTACTTCCTAATATATATATATATATATATATATATATATATATATATATATATATATATATATATATATATATATATATATATATATATATATAATATATATATATATATATATATATATATATATATATATATATATATATATATATATATATATGTATGTATATATATACATATATATCTTTTCTTTCATTCAACACACCGGCCGTATCCCACCGAGGCAGGGTGGCCCAAAAGGAAAAACCAAAGTTTCTCCTTTTACATTTAGTAATATATACAGGAGAAGCGGTTACAAGTCCCTTGCTCCCGGCATTTCAGTCGCCTCTTACAACACGCATGGCTTACGGAGGAAGAATTCTGTTCCACTTCCCCATGGAGATAAGAGGAAATAAACAAGAACAAGAACTAGAAAGAAAATAGAAGTAAACCCAGAGGGGTGTGTATGTATATGCTTGTACATGTATGTGTAGTGTGACCTAAGTGTAAGTAGAAGTAGCAAGACATACCTGAAATCTTGCATGTTTATGAGACAGAAGAAAGGACACCAGCAATCCTACCATCATGTAAAACAATTTCAATCTTTCGTGTTACACTCACTTGGCAGGACGGTAGTACCTCCCTGGGCGGTTGCTGTCTACCAACCTACTACCTATGATATATATATATATATATATATATATATATATTATATATATATATATATATATATATATATATATATATATATATATATATATATATATGTCGTGCCGAATATGTAAAACTGGTCAATTAGCAAGAACTCATTTAAAATTAAGTCCTTTCTAAAATTTTCTCTTATACGTTTAAAGATATATTTTTTTCATTAATGTTAATGTTAAAAAATTTAATTTTGCTCCAAAACAATCTTAGAAAACTTACCTAACCTTATTATAACAAGAGCAATTTATTTTAGCCTAACCCAACTAAATATATTTTAAATACGTGTACAATAATTTAGTACTAAACAAACACAATCAAATATATTTTTTTCGTTAGGTTCAGAATGATTTTGGCGAAATTATTGCATACACAAATTTTCACTTGTCCTATATGGCAAGATGAGCGTTGGTATTCAAGCCAAGGTCGCAAGTTCTGCCTATTCGGCACGATATATATATATATATATATATATATATATATATATATATATATATATATATATATATATATATATATATATATATATATATGTACACACACACACCGTATATGGGGCGAAACAGTAGATTCTTAGATGGTGGCCGCAGATGCAACCAAGCCATAGAACTGCCAATTGCAAAATCATCTTATTAGAACCCTCATGGTTGAATGTTTACAATACTAGGACGACGCGACCATATCACTACCATCCATCCGCTTGTTTTCCCCACCCCCCATATCATTTTTCCATGAGTGTAATACTTTTGTTTGGGGGAAGAGGCGATACTTTGCAAACGGAATAAGATCATAACTCCCAATGCCCACATAACACCCCTGAACTGTCTAATCAGAATGGTTAGTTAGACAAGAAAAAAAATATACACACTCTGATCGCGGCTCCATTTTTCCTCCCCTTACTTACCTGAATGAAGATCTCCTTGAGGTGCGCGAGGCCACGGAAGGCGAAGGGTTTGATGTCCCTGATGTGGTTGTCATTGAGGTTCAGGGTACGCAATTTGGGCCACCGTATGAACATCTGTGTGGTGAGCGCCGCCAGGGCGTTCTTAGCCAAGCTCAGGTCCTCCACTGTGTCCGGCAGCTTCTCTGGCACCGACGTCAGTGCCACACTGCTGCAGATTACCTGCCAGGACCAGAGTATAGAGATGTAGATGCTGATAGATGACGGTAATCATGGGAGATGATGATGCTGGTGTGAAACGAGAGCAGAATGATGCAGAAGCTGATAGATGAAGATAGTCATGGGAGATGAAGATGATGGTGGGACGAGAGAGCAGATACGATGAAGGAGGAAGTTGAGTTTTATGACACAATGTACTAGATTATGATTATATTAAGGAGAGTGTATAGTGGCATCTAAATTGTCGCGCCTCTGGCAAGACAGTGATAGTGTGAATGATAATGAACATGTTTATTTTTTTTCGGGTCACCCTGCCTCGATGGGAGACTGCCAGTGTGCTAAATATTATATATAATATTATATATATATATATATATATATATATATATATATATATATATATATATATATATATATATATATATATATATATATATATATATATATATATATATATATATATATAAGAGAAAGAGAGAGTGGTGCAATTAGTGCAGTATGAGAAATTAATAAGCATAGATATTAAGATGCATTTCAATGCCTTATCTTCAAATATAAGAGGGCCAAGACTTGTTAGTGTTGCCAGCCTACCCGAGCGAGGTATGTATCCTCGCATCGCATAACCCCAGCCCCCTGCACCTCAACCCACGTAAAAGGCATAGCAGGTGTACCTCAAAATCCTCAGAAAGCAGAGAGGCTGCAGCTAAAATCTTTCAACAGACCTAGCTGTTATGACGCATTTCTCAACAGATCCAGGAGCTGGGAATCAGCAATTTCAAGAGGCAAGAGATGATTTTGATGTACATACTCAATAGGTCTAGCACCGACAGCCTAACACACTCAGAAGAGCCAGGAGCTTTAGATCAGCATCTGAAAGACGCAACGGAACGGCAGATCAACACCTGATAGACGCAAGGAACGGTAGATCAATACCTGATAGACGCAAGGAACGGTAGATCAAGACCTGATAGACGCAAGGAACGGTAGATCAATACCTGATAGACGCAAGGAACGGTAGATCAAGACCTGATAGACACAAGGAACGGTAGATCAACACCTGATAGACGCAAGGAACGATAGATCGACACCTGATAGACACAAGGAACGGTAGATCAACACCTGATAGACACAAGAAACGGTAGATCAACACCTGATAGACACAAGGAACGGTAGATCAACACCTGATAGACGCAAGGAACGGTAGATCAACACCTGATAGACTCAAGGAACGGTAGATCAACACCTGATAGACACAAGGAACGGCAGATCAACACCTGACAGACACAAGGAACGGTAGATCAACACCTGACAGACACAAGGAACGGTAGATCAATACATGAAAGAACCAGCGAAACGGTAAATCAATACCCTGAAACAATCAATGTCACACATTTTTTTTTTTACCATGCGTTTGAAAGTACGTAAATGTTCCACATTACGATGTTAAGCTCCACGCTGCCAGACACAAGCCGCCCGTTATTACCGGTTAATTACACGGAAATATTGGTTAGTATACGTTAACCTGATCAAACCTAATCGAAAATAACAAATATTGAAAATTTCCATGAAATTTCCAGCGGACAGAAATGCACAATGGGCGAGTCAAACGATGCTGGCAGCCACAATGAGCGTCAACAAAGATGGCAGCCCCAAGTAGTGGAGATTTTTCATGAAGAGGCCAGGACTCAAGGGAGGCTCCTCGATTCTAGTGGAGAGCTCTTATTCCAGGAACTGGAGTTACATTTCTTTTCCTTCGATCGAATCTGACTGCCTCAGATTCTTCAGACACGGAGTGGCTCCCCACGGAGTAAGTACAATTGTCATAGTAACATATGTGTAAATTACCTAGGATAATCCCCCTCCCCCTCAAAAAGTCAGATACGTAAGAAATCACTTGTCGATTTCCGTGGATTTTTTTCCTCGTCTAGACTCGGCAGTGGCACAAGCATTTTTTTTTTTTTAAGAAAATTCATTTCGCTGTTATATCAGACAGACCAAAACACTGATATTAATGAAACTCACACGATATATGCTATACGTCAGGACACACATGCCCCAACTAAACATTGGTGTTTAAATTAAGCTTTTTTTATCTGTTTTATATTTTTACGATAAAATGGTCTAAACCGTTCAAGGGAATCGCAAAAAATGCTTACGATGTAGTTTTAAAGAACTGTAAATGTCTGTTTAATTTAATTTTCAGCTTGCTAGCCCAGTTTCTTAGTGCTCTTGAAGGTTAAGTATGATACTGTGCTCAACCATTTATCTAAATACAATTGCCATATAAAACTTATAAAGCCTTCATGTGACATTTACGAGTGTGGAAATTCTGAAGCTAGAATATATATATATATATATATATATATATATATATATATATATATATATATATATATATATATATATATATATATATATATATATATATATATACAGTATCACAATTTTTAATGTTATAATTAACAAAGTGAACGTGCACAGTCCAATACCAATGTAAGTGTTACTCTAAGCAAGACACTTCAACAAGCTGGATATCTTAATTCGTTTCATAGAAGTGACAAATTATGGGTCTTACAGTGAGAACTTTCCATTCAGAAAATGTATCAGCGCTGAAAATTGGAAGGTGACCAGAAGAACCATTCTCCAGTTATACGAAAACCACTAGTCTCCACTTTCTTATAATATATTAACAAAATTGACAGATTTGCATCTGAGCAGATTGAAACTAGAATGAATATTCCATGAAGTAAGAAACATTATTTGCTTAGATTATAAAACTGCTCAGAAAAAAGACTTTTGTAAGTTAATGTAAAAAAACAAAAAGGTAAGAACTCTAAAAATAAGAATGGCAGCTACACTCTCTAACAACTTAAAAAGTTTGACCAGTGCTGGAGATGTTAGTACTGGAGAAAGTCTGAAGCTGATCAAAACAGACTTTCTCAGTAGAGTCTACAGGTATCCCTTCACTATTTGCGTATATGAAACAGGAAATGGGCACCTACACTGCCCAATATTTTTTTTAAGAAAGGTATACTTCTGCTGAAAGTTTAAAGCCGATCAGCAAAAGCATTATCACAATATTACTTGGAAAAAACAAGACTCACTGAAAGTGTTCCCTTTATCTGGATACCTAATTACCAATAGACTCGTGTCTTAAGCAGAGTCACGACAAGTGGATAAACGATAGAGCTAGCTAGAGATACCTTTATTATGACCTTTCTTCCGGGACTGGACTTTATTAAATATACAAAAGCTCACAGATAATCGGCCTTGTAAGTCAAAAAAAAAAAAAAAAAAAAAGCACCGCATGATCAGGCTCGGGAGAGGTCATGAGCGAGGTCATGAGTAAGATCATGGGGAGACAGACAGGTCAAACAATATGCATATTAGGTAAAATGACACAAGTGCAATTAATGTGACATTTTATTGTGGCAAAATAAAACGTTACATATTGTGGGTAATTCTTCCAACATTAATATAACATGCATATTAGTTGCCGAGGGCAGCGGGGGGGGGGGGGGGTAGGCTTAGATCCAGAGGAAACATTATTATATTAATCATGATTAACAATTTGAGAATGAGGGAAGTTATTTACAATCTCAGACTAGAACAGGACTCGAACCTACGCACTCTGTATCAAAGTACTCAGTACTTATACCACACAGCCAGATTCCAGATAAGTATGGGTGCCCATCAGACGCCAGGCGTGGTTTCCCATACCCAGGAGCACTAGGTTTGTGTTCAATTGCTCATCTGAACATAAATCTGATGTTCCGGGGTATGAGAAACAACACCTGGCATTTACTGAACACCCATAGTTATCTGGAGTCTGGCTGTGTGGTATAAGTACTGTGTACTCTGATGCGAAGGTTCCTGTGCTTTTCCAGTCTGAGATTATGTTTATACATATGTATAATATGAGAAATGGGGGCTTTCATTCCCTTATTTTCTTTGATAGTGGCAAATAAATAAATTGTTGCGGATTCCAAAATTTTGCTTTTAGTTTTATCCTTCTGATAAAACTGTAGAGCTGCTGCTCCATTGTTCCTGATGTGTGACTGTAAATTACAATGAATAATACACGTGCCGTTGATGCCCATCCTGTAAGCATATCTGTGTTTCTGCAGGCGACTTTGAAGGTCACGCTTTGTCTCACCAATGTAAACGTTACTTTTCCCACACAGAATGTTGTAAACCTCAACAACAGAAGTACTCTTGGGTTTTTTGAGATCTAGTGATGTCATTGATGGTTTTGCTGGTTATGACAATATCCATGTTGGCTTTTCGGAAGATGGGGTTGCCTGTCCCCTTGTCTTATGGGAAGAAGGCGGTTGATGTTTACTGTTTTCCCTAGGAGTGGTGTGAATAAGTAAGACTTTCTTTTTTGCAGGATGGATGATTTGTAGAGGGAACTTAAGGGCTATGAAGGCCTCCTCAATGTATATTTGTTCATCTTCAAGAAATACTTCATTATAAAGCCTGAGGTTGAGGAGACAAAATACCCCCAACAATTCCTCGTTTAGTTTCGCTGTCGCTTTGAGAAAAATAGCGCATTAAGTCATCTGTATCGGTAGAGTTTTTATAAGTCCTGTATACTTCGTGAAGTCCAGTCCTGGATGAAACGTCGCAATGAAGGTTACCTGCGAACAGTGTCTTTCTCACTGTTTCTCCGCAGAAACTTGGTTTGTTCATACACAAAATTTTGATCAGGTGGGCTGTAGTGCTTATAGCTGCTTATATGCAGCAGTTAACTGTTTATGGTGTCAGATAGGAGCACTAGTCTGGGACCAGGCCGTTGGGGCGATTATCTCCGAAAACGCCTAAAGCCAAACTACTGGTATGATTCAGAGAGTGAAAGAGGTATTTAGGTCACTATCCACCTCACAACCTCTCTGTAACTATCATTGGCCAACAAGACAAACACGAGGTAGCAACCATCGACAAGCAGAGACGCGTGGACGAATCGGCACTCAGCTTCAATTTAATAGTGAAATATATCCGATTTGAGTATGCGTAATTGGTAGAGAGTTGTAAGTGACCCTCCAGTGTGCTCTCTGCTCCTCAGAGCATACTTCCGTGGACGTAATAACGCTCCAGGAGACTTGGGCGAGTGTATAAACCCAGATAACTATCAGTGTCCAGTGTTGCTTGTTTAACGTTGCCACTTCAGCGTTAGCTGTGCTGAGCCACAACATCCAGTGACCGGGGTTAAAATATTGATCATATCTAGGAGGGTAAAAAAAGAAAGAGAAAAATGAGTTCCTCAGATCTACAAAGGTAAAGAAAAATGAACAGTCATTTACTGACAGGAAAAGTGGATCTCACCGCCGAGAACATGGGAAGAATGAAACACCTGAGCACTACCTGGACTGGCCTTTTAAAAAGCCACAAAATAAAAGACGTATGTCACCTCAATATATGCTGATCTCGTAGATAAAAGAAGCCAGTCATTGAAACAAAAAAGATTAGGAGATTATTGCAGCGATATGTATAGGTGAAACAAGAAAACATCCACACCAAGTCAGACCAGCGTCTTCTTGATAAATATCTGTGAACGACTCTCAATACTCTCGAAACACTGAGGCGAGTTTATTGCTCTCCGAATATAATCTCTCAGCGTAATTTTCAATATTCTTGTCCAATCTGAGTCATTCAGTTCAAGAACATTTAAATTAAGTGAGGGGGGGGAGGGTAGGCAGGAGACCGAAGACAGGGAAGCACAGGACAAACTACTGAGGAAATACGACTCTTGGTGTAAACACTGAGACATGTGCCATCAAAAAACTGGGAGACACAACACTGAAATTATAAATATGGTTTATGTAATCAGTAGTTATGATAATTATTATAATTGTCTTCAGAAGCTTGAATCAAATATCTGTAGCAAACTTTGGACAGCAGCATCGCTCCCTTCTCCCCCCCCATCAAAAAAAAAAAAAACTTCACCACTACGTTGATTTTTTTTTTTTACACAGACCAGTTTTACAAGTTAACAGATGTTATCCTACCTCAACTCATTTCCAAGCTCAACCCTATATAAGGTCTACTACCCCTCAGGATGAGACCCACACCAGTCGACTCACACCCAGGTATCTACTTACTGCTAAGTGATCAAAGGCTGTAGGTGTAAGGAAACATGCCCAGCGTTTCCACCCAGCCGGGGCTCGAACCACGGACACTTAGTATGTGAGCTGAGTGCGCTACCAAATGTTGAGCCTTACTGGATGTAAACACCAAGAGATGTGTGTGTGTGTGTGTGTGTGTGTGTGTGTGTGTGTGTGTGTGTGTGTGTGTGTGTGTGTGTGTGTGTGTGTGTGTGTATGTGTGTGTACTCACCTAATTGTGGTTGCAGGGGTCGAGACTCAGCTCCTGGCCCCGCCTCTTCACCAACCGCTACTAGGTCCTCTCTCCCCCTGCTCCATGAGCTTTATCATACCTCGTCTTAAAACTATGTATAGTTCCTGCCTCCACTACATCGCTTGCCAGACTATTCCACTTCCTAACTACTCTATGACTGAAGAAATACTTCCTAACATCCCTTTGACTCATCTGAGTCTTCAACTTCCCTTGTTTCTGTGTCCCATCTCTGGAACATCCTGTCTCTGTCCTGTCCTGTAGGTCCTGTCCTGTGTGTGTGTGTGTGTGTGTGTGTGTGTGTGTGTGTGTGTGTGTGTGTGTGTGTGTGTGTGTGTGTGTGAGTGTGTGTGTGTGTGTGTGTGTGTGTGTGTGTGTGTGTGTGTGTGTGTGTGTGTGAGTGTGTGTCTGCTGAAAGTTTGTTCAGATCTCCAGTTAAGAGATTAAAGTTGTCTTTACTGGTTGTGAACAGGTAACTTACAGCCTTAAAGACTATTAAGCTACACTTAAATGTTTGGCTTTTATCATGACAGCTGCGTCTGCGTGTATGTGAAGTTTATCAGTGGCTACTAACAGTGACCACCTCCTGAAGTGTTGATCATGTTAACAGTGAACACACTGACCTGAAGTGTTGATCATGCTCACAGTGAACACACTAACCTGAAGTGCTGATCATGTTCACAGTGAACACAAACTCTCTCTCCCAGTCCCAGTCCTGGTTCCTTCAACCCCAGTCCCGGTTCTCTTTTCCCTAAAGCTCTCTCTCCAAGTCCCTAGACACGAATATCACTTTTTAAAGGGGTGGAATAGTAAGCCAGCAGAAGGCCTCGGTCAGATGACCGAGACTCCAGTGGTGGGTCATAGTATAACTAAGACCCGCGTATGGAAACACTTGTCCTGTTTCCTGGCGAATGTAACCTAACCTAACGTAGTCTAACTTACCCTTGCCTAATCCAACCTAATCAAACCTAACCTAACTTAACCTAACCTAACCTAATCTAACCTAACCTAATGTAACCTAATCTAACGTAACCTAATGTAACCTAATCTAACCTAGACCTGACTTTCAACGCTTAGCTTGATTTTCTTGATTCTGCTGGCATGGTTCTCTACTCAGAGGAAAGGCTGGGAGAAAGATGGAGGAGGATGGAAATAATGGAGAAGAAGAGATGGGAAATGATGGAAGGAATGGATGGGAAAGGGGAAATTGGGGGATGCCTGTGAGAAAAAGGAGACTGGAGAGGAAGGGAAGGCTAAACGGGGGAGGGAAGGCTATGGGAAGGCGAGAGGGCCGGGGGGGGGGAGGAATGGGAGAATATAAGGAAGGAATAGGAGGGAGAGAGTGAAAAGAGATAAGGGAGGGAGGGTACCGGGGTTTAGTGCCCCCGCTGCCCAGTTTGTGACCAGGCCTGATAGTGGATCAGGGCCTGGTTAACCAGACTGTTACTGCTGGCCGCACGTAGTCTGACGTACGAACCACAGCCCGGCTGGCCAGGTACTGAATTCACGTGCCTGCCCAGCGTTTTCTTGAAGACAGCCAGAGATCTTTTGGTAATTCCCCTTATGTATGCTGGGAGGCAGTTGAGCAGTCTTGGGTCCTTGACACTTACTGTGTTGTCTCTTAGTGTACTCATGGCGCCCCAGTCTTTTGCTTTCATAGGGAGTGATTTTCGTGGGCAAATTTCGTACTAATCCCCGTAGGATTTTTCAAGTGTTTATTATCATGCATCTTTCTCGCCTGCGTTCCAGGGAATACAAGTCAAGGAACTTTACCCGTTACCAGTAATTTAGGTATTTTATCGTACTTATGGGTGAGAGAGAGAATGAGAGATGAAGAGCAGGAAGAAGGGAGGATGAGAGAGGGGAGGGAGAAGGAAGTATTGCGGGGAAAGGTAGAGTGATGGATACTACGATACTACGTGCCGCAAAATGCCCTTCTCACACTATACCACTCACTTATTTATCCATACCTCACCTATGCTATTTGTGCTTGGGGATCAACTGCAGCAACACACCTAAAGCCAATAATAACCCAACAAAAAGCTGCAGTAAGAATAATCACTAAATCCCATCCCTGGCAACACCCCCCCCCCACTCTTCATAGACCTAAACTTACTCCCAGTTCAGTACATCCACACTTACTACTGTGCAATCTACATCTACAGGGCCTTAAACTCTAATATCAACCTTGACCTAAAACGCTTTCTTGATAGTTGTGACAGAACCCACAGGCATAACACCAGACACAAACATCTCTACGACATTCCCCGTGTCCGACTAAACCTTTACAAAAATTCAATGTATGTCAAAGGCCCTAAAATCTGGAATACCCTACCTGAGAACTCTAGAACTGCAGACACATTCATCACCTTCAAAACTACCATTAGAAAACATCTTATCTCCCTGATACACCCTGTCAACTAACTACACGAATACCACCTGGTGGTTCACACTTACACTCACTCACTCATTTGACCATAAACAGAAATATTAATCTCAATCTTAAAATAATGAATCCTGTGATACTCCAATACTGAAACTATGTACTGTGCCAAAACAAAAGCATTCACATTGCTAAACTCACAAACTAGTATTTAGTCACTTAGCCATAATACCAACTTACCTCATAATTTGTAATATTTTACAATTAAGAATAAAACTAAGTATGCCCGAAATGCCTAGCCATGTTAAGCGTTCTAGTGGTACACTCTGTAATCACTATTTTACTATATGTAAACCACACAATAACCAAATTTCTGTAAACTCAGCATTGTAATCCTTATAGAGAATAAACTTTGAAAGTAGAAAGAGGGCGAGAGTGAGAGGGGATGAGGGAGAGTGAGGAAGGGGGTTAGGTAGGGGGGCGAGGGTGGGGCTGTTGGAGGGGTGGTGGGGCACCAGCTACACTACCGTCAGCAACC